TAATCTTGTCGCCAACAACTTACTTATTATGTACATTCAACGAGAAAAGAATCGTAAAGAAATTAAAAAAAAAATTTTTGTCAACAGATTCAGATCTTTAGAGGAAAAGAAACACGCGCGCCAGTAGTTTAAAACGTGTAACATTTCACAGTTGAATACCCATTTTGGGTTCACTTTTTCGTCGCCTTTTTCTTACCACCCGTCTTCCCTGTTTTCTTTGACAGTGTTTCTTTAGCCGACTCTCCTTCCTTCTTTTCCCCTTCACTTACAGTCGTTGTCTTTGTTTTCTTGGTTTCTCCACTATCGGACACTTTCCCTTTACCTACTTTCCCACCTTTGCTTTCCCCTTTTTTACCCACAGAAACCTTCCCTTTTCCTCCCTTAGCTTTGGGATCTTTTCCTTCTTCTTTTCCTCCTTTTGGGCTCAAACCTTTTCCGAGCTGCTCTGTAGCAGGTGTTGCCATCTTTGGTTTATCAACAGACTGCAACTTCCCTTTAGAAGATTCTCCTTTCGATTTCTTAATAGCTTCGCTTTCGAAACGCCCCTCTCCGTTTACTTCATCTTGTACCACCCCCGCCTTCTCTTCGGGATTTCCCGTGTTTGCGTCATTCTGAGCGCTGTCTTTCGCCTCTTCCTTGTCCACATTATTTTGGTCATTTCCCAGATTACCGCCAATGTTAAACTTAACACGAGTTTCGTTCTGTTCTTTGTCAAGGGAGACGGTCGCAACAGCGCTGCTTGGTTTAAATAAAAAGCTTTCGCCACCTGATATAGTGTCCGTCTCGATTACACCCATACTCAAGTTTTCTACAAACGAATGTCCCGAGGGCTTCTGTCTGTCTTTCTCGTAGATCAGGCAGAAGTTGACAAAGAGGGGTGTCCAGTAGAACATGAAAATAGCCCCCGCTACTGCAGCGAGATAACAACTCCAAGAGAGGTCCATCCGATCGTCCATTTTGTAGAGGAAAACCAAGCTGCTGGATAAAGTCACCGCGGCTGTGGAATGTCGGAGGAAACATTGGAATAAAGGGAGGTGGTGGTGGG